GCCAGGACAGTCTCTCGAAGAGGCTGAAGATGGCGAAGATGATGGATTTGATAGTGAGGAATTTAGAGAGTGGATGAGAAATCGCGGCAGGAGCCGCAGACCAAACCGGTCGAGAAGGCAGGAGAGCAGCGACGGCTCAGATGGAGGTGGCGGCGGAGGCCGCACCAATGCTGCAGGGCCCCCACCAGATTGGGACGGAGAAAGTCTTGGATTCCAGGACTACCTGATCAAAGCCCGACTTTGGTTAGCGACAACAAAAAGTAAACCCCGCACAAGAGGGCCACTGCTGTTGTCAAAGCTGACCAAGGTACCGTTTGAGACGATGAAGTTCCTAGGCCCTGGCAAAGATCACCTACCATGTCCGTCGAGAAAAGGCCGAACCACATCGAGCCTTCTTCAATCGATGGGAGACAGCATACCGGAAGGTGGTCGAGCATCGGGTGCAGCTGCCAGACAAATACCTGGGTTTCTTGCTCATCCAGGCCTTATGTTTGTCTGAGCAGGATATCAAGTCCCTCCTCAACTACACCAGGGGCAGCATCCTTACCAAGGACATCAAGGACTACGTGAGAAAACATGAGACGAAGCTGCAGGTGTCACAGGTGGGATTGGAGAAGAAAACAACTACGAGCACGACGGGGAGTAAGGCCAGTGGAACCTATCTCCTGAACGATGAGGAGTCCGACCTCGGGTGACACGGACAACCGAGAAGATCATGGAGGACCACTGGGATGACAAGGACGCCATCCGGGAGTACCAGGACCAAGCTTGGACTGGCACGACTGTCTTCATGAAGACCGAGATCGAGACGGGGATCAACAAGCCTATCAACGAAGATTTTTACAGCTAGCTCGAAAACATATCCAAGGAGGCTACCTTTTGGTCTACTATGATGCCAACCCGGAGGTGACGGAAGGACTAGAAATGATGACAATCGCCTCTTGGAAGAGCTACAAACTCAAACGATGCACAGTGAATACCCTGAGCGCCGAATGCCAGTCCATGATCCAAGGTGTTGGCAATTTGCACTGGCACCGCTTCCTGATGACCGAGATCATGGGCAGCCAGCTCCAACTTGAAACTTGGGAGAAGGAGCTGCGCAAGATACCCTTCATCGCAGTGACCGACTCAAAGTCGCTCTACGACACCATCACAAAATGCAGAAATACATCTGCACACGTGGATGACAAGAGGACGGCGATTGACCTGACGATCCTCAAGGATGACCTGGAAGGAACCAAAGGTCAAGTGAGATGGGTGAGTGGGACCAATATGGTATCTGACCCACTAACCAAGAAAATGCCTCCCGGCTTTCTTCAGAAGGTCATGAGGTTAGGAAAATTGTCACTTACGGAGAAGGGGCACCAACAACTTTTGG